ATATGTTGTTCTAAATTTGTAGGACAGTTATTCAAAGGCTGTGTAGTCTCTTAAAATGAAAAATATCATTCGTGTGAAGGTAGTTATCAAGTTCCCGCTCTTATGTAAGTTCTGTTGGTTTCATTTATTTACTTTATTGATCCATGTAACTCGGTAATGTTGGTGTTAAGCACAAGATCATCCTTGAGCAATATATTGGATGCTATTTATTATATTTTTGTCCTATCCTCAGAAAAAAAAGTGAACATGCAAAAAAAATAAAAATAATAAATGAATAAAAAATAAAACGTTGGTATAAAAAGGGCTGCTGGCATTTGCATCCATTAATCTCTCTAATCTGTTCTTTTAGTATGGTCTTTTGATTGTATAACCCTGTACTCATGTGCTTGGAAACTGGGTGACCACTCCAATTTATTTTTTATTATAATTTATTTATTTATTTATTTTTTGAGGTCATTTCTGTTTGAAGTAGATTTTCTCATAAAATAATTTCTATTTTCTTTTAATGGGATCCTCAGGAAAAAGCTACAGATTCTTTGCCAAAATCATCACAAGTTGCAAACCGCTCCAATGCCCCTCCATATGCTCAATCAGCAATGTCGATGGACAGTGATGACGGAATCTCGTATAAAGGTCCATCAACTTTCAATTATGCTTCAATTATTTTCTTTGCTTAAGCTTTTGTCAAATTAGCTTAAACTATTCCAAGAGTTTGCTAAGCTTCTTATGGATCAATGTCACTACTGTTTCTGCATCATTATTAAAGCAGTAATCTCATTATGCCTATTCTAGCTTCTCTTGGTAAGTAGATTATTTTTTTGTTCAGTAATGACCTGCTAAGTAGCTTTCTCTTGCCATTTCATATGATTGCAACTTGTACTTAATAAACTAGGTCTGAATTTTGTTTCTTTTTTCTTTTACTGATCACAATTTAGTTTCTTAATATTCTTCTCCTCTATCTTCATTTACAAGATATTTCAACACCCCTGCTCATTCAAAGAGGATGTTGCTATTTTAATGAGCTCGAACATATTGGAAAGGATATTACATAGGATAATTAGGTTTCTAAATTGCATCTTTGCTTTCATGTATAAGCTAAGTGTGGCTACAACAAGCTTAATGTTGTAATTGAATAGTCCTGGTGAGAATGAATTTTTTTGTCCACTTGCAGTCAATGAACTTGATTAACTAGGTTGTCAATAATACACTCCTGGTGGAAGCTCTGTCACTTGCAAGTTAATGTTTAATATATATTGTATGTATTACAGTTCTATTATTTTACTAACCTCGACATGACAATTGGGTTTAGAATAGTCTCTGGGGAAAAGAGGGTTAAATGTGGACTAGTTCTCTATAGATCTATGCTTCTTATGCATCAGTTTTCTTGGGAAGTTTGGATGCTGATTGGTCTTAAGAAAAAGCATGAGAAAGGGAGTTCTTTAACCCAAGGCAACCTAGGTGGGCACTTCATTTGAATTTCCTTTATTGTAAAATCATTTTAAGAGTTAAATGCATGTGACAACCAATGAGTATCTAATTAGAGAAGAATCAGAATCTTGTGAACGAAACTAGTATATCTGAGTTAAAAAACCTATAACATTGTGATTTACTACTATCCACAATGCAGAAAAAATGCTCTGATTTTTCAATTAGCTGTCTGCTTTTTTAAATAATAATAATGCTAATAATAATAAATAAAATAACTCAATTACTTGCTGCTATCCGGAAGTTTGTAGCTTTGAAATTAAGCAATTAATGAGAAGTTATGTTGGTCAACTAAGTGTAAAGAATTTTGATGTAGACTTGCATTAAGCTAATTGCTTACTTGAGAATGAAAGGCATAGCAAGAACCTCTACTGGGCTAATTTGAACTTCACATTATTTGTAAACTTTTACTTGAGCTGTTTGTGCACAACGCGAAGGTGCAGTCCATAATTCTTATTCTTGAGAAATTTTTCTTTTTTACCCTTAACTATTTATTTTTATTAATAAATACTGTAAAAGCTATTAAAAAATGAGGAGTTCATAAAGTCTTTATGAATTGCAGCTATTGGTGGAGCGACTGGACAGCTTCTCGAGCAAAGTGCTCAGGCCCTGGATCAAATTTCTGCAAATTTTTCTGCTTTCAAGGTAATCTATAGTTTTAATAAGATTTATTTATTATTATTATTTTTTTTTTTTTAACTTTTTCAGAACATATATCTATTGAAAATTGAAAGGGTTCAAACATATGTAAATCTTGATGAAGAAAACTCTAGGATGAATATAATGCTTCTCTCATCGGTTGCTGAAAGATATCTTGTTTAATTTAATAATCTACAACAATTGGATGAGAATTCATTTTTTGGCAATTCACTCATTATTTTGGAATCATGCAGACACACCTGTCGTCTGGTGTAATACAAGTTAAAGTTGAATAATAATGTGGATTAACATTATATGCTAGGATACCCTAACAACCCACTTTTTTTTCCGATTATGGTGTACAATAATTATTTCTGATTTCATATTACAAGTTGTTCTATCGTTGAACTAATGGATATAGTTGTGAGATATTGTCAAATGATGACTGATCTGGATATGGAACTCAGTGGAGGATTGTTTGAATGTTGAATTTTCTGAAACATTGGAAATTAAGAGTCTACTGCACTACATATATCAGTTTGTAAAGATACATCTTATTAAGATATTTATGTGGTCATAGATTTCTTTTTTAAATCCTGTGTGTTTGTACCTTCTGCTTCATAGACTTTAATTAATAGCCATATTGTATATGCGCCCCATCAAATCATAACTGGGAAGCTTCTTCCTTAGCAGTGATTTCATGATATTTATGTTAACTTTTCTTGTTGTATACACATGCAGATAAATGAGAACATCAATCTCTTCTGTCAAGCTCGAAACAATATCTTGACAATCTTAAACGAGTACGTTAATTACACTCTACATCTATATGTTGTTATGCTTTCCGTATCTGGCATGGATTGATCTTTCATAGAGAATAGATGCCTCCACTGATTTCCCTGTTTATTTTCAGTTTAGGTTTCCCTTTACATTTTTAAATGTGTTTAGTCTTCATGATAATATTCCAGTTATTAATGGTCGCGACTCGCACGATTGAGATTCTGTTTGGTTTCGGTTATAGGAATGCTTTCTCTGGTATGTAAGGGAGGAAAGTAATGTTTGGATAACAAGAACAAATGGGTTTCCTGAAAACAATTCAATTTCAAGTTTCTAGCATTCCATTTTTAAGGCAAGAAAAGAGTTTTTTAACTTCAACTTTCAATGTAATTGGTTGAGGCTGTAAGTACTACCCTCTTCCACCACTCATTCCTATTTTTTTTAGAAGTTAAACCGTATATAAATACTTCCCAAACGAGGTCTTAGTTCGTTGGTGTAGATAGAAAGACAGAAACATGACTATTGAATCCAAGCATACCCTTAATCTTTGATCTTTGTAGGGTCTTTTAGTTCCTCATTTAAGTTTGATCTTCCATAAAAAATATTCCAGAGGATATATTATAATAGTCGTTACAAAGGTTTAAGTAAAAAGCTTAAGGTCTCATGCTTGCTGTCTCCGTAGATGCAAGGAGTTTCACAAAGAGTGCATACTTGTTTTTCTTTTAATTATTTCCTTGGAAGAATGCATTCAGAAATGGAGACGGACGTCATCAGTTTATTATTCCTGTAGTTCAGAAACCAGTAGCCCTCCACAAGGGACCATGTGCTGCTCAGATTTACATCTGAGACCACCACCCCGAAACTGTGAAACATGACCCCTTCTCTCCCAAATAAAAAGCAAAAAAAGATAACTGCCGAAAAGAAAATCCCAGAAGAGAATTGGAAATTGAAATTATTCTAAAATTGTCTCTGATAAGTCTCTCGAACAAAATTGGAAGCAGCTCTTTCAGCAACATCAGTCTTCTAACTCCAAAATAAATTTGACTTGGCTTTAGTAACTTTGGAAGTCAAAACTCTATTATCATATTTTAATGCATCTCTTTTAGATTTGATGAATTGAGTAATTTTAAAATTAATTTGTTTCCCCCATTCTCCTTCATTGGATAGAAAAGAAAAGAAATTAGAAACAGAGAAGGGGATTGTGTATGACATATTTAAGAGCTTTAGTATTTACACATTACTTTGGTAAGACATTATATAGATGAATAAATGTTTGTTTGCTCAAATATGGAAATATTGTATATCTGATTTCATCCATAAGTCTGCTTTCTCAGCAAGTTATAGTTCAATAAGAATCCTAACTTGTGTCTTCAGAAATGAACGTCCATGCCTATTTTTGGATTCGAAGATTGAAATATTTGTGCAAGCATAAGCGCATCCCCCAACCCCGTATACACGCCGTCCCAAACCAATGGTACTGCGACACAATGTAATTAGTACATGTGACGGTTACATTGTGGATATTTTTATATTTATTGCTCAATAATTCAAATATCAGCATAAATGTTTGCCCAACACGCATCCGTAACAAGATATCACCTGTTAATTATCAAACAGACTCGAATAATTCCAACATGCTAAATTGAATTATTTGATTGCAGCTTAAATGACATGCCGGAATTAATGAAGCAGATGCCGCCACTACCTGTCAAGCTGAATGAAGATCTTGCCAACTCCATCCTTCCAAGAACATCATTGCCAAAGAAATCTTGAGGGCATCTTTTGCAAGCTTGCTGAATGATGCTTCTGATTGTGATGTTTTTAATAAATTGTCAGCTACAATCCAGCTGAAACTTTTTACCCTGTGGCTCTGTTTTTTTACTTGATATGTTTGTCCTTCTTTGGGCTGTTGTATTTTGCTTTAGAAGATGGTTTGTGTAGCATGTTAATAACCAACAGTATAGGACTGCTTGTTTATTCTGTAAATAATCGTAGGGAAAGAGTTTTAAAGGCTTGTTATTTAATAGAAAGGTATGTGCTGTGGAGCATAAAATTTTTAGGAAATGTAGATTATAACTTGTCTATGCATACAACCTTGAAAGGTAGCTCAGTGGTCAATTTTGGTGTTTGTTTCTCAATGGTCACCAGTTTATGTTTCTTCAGGGTTACTGAGGTGAGCATCCGACTGTAAACTTCAGGATCTCGTGAGATTAGTCAAGGTGCACGTAAGTTGGTTCGAACACCCATGGTCATTTAAAAATAAAAATAAAAAAATCCTTGTCTATGCATACTTATGGCACGTTTGATAGATTGGATCGATTGGAATAGATATCATTAAAGAAGACAAATCAAGTTAGAATCTTGTCTTTTATTATGTTATCACGTACTTTGAACATTTACAAGTGCAATGAGAATTTCTCATTCTCCTATAGAGCCGTGCTCTTGTTTGGAAAAGCTGTTAAATTTCAATTTTAACTGCAAATTTTATGTAATTCAATAACTTTTATTTACTTTCTAACCACATTATATGGGGCATGAACTTTTGATAAGTCGATTACATGAATGGTACATGAACTTTTGTTAAAGTAACCGAATAATGTGAACAAACGACCTTAAATTTGAGATTTGGAGTCGAGGGTCCTGAATTTGAGATTAAGATAAACCCAATAAGTTATATGTTATGAGTACTGCTACCAAAGAAATTTAAATTACATGTTTGGCATCTATTCAATTTATAAACATTATAAGTAAAACTTACTTTTTATCCACAATGTAGTAAAATCCAAAAGTACTATTTTGTTATTCATCACTCATTTCTATTTATTTATAGCTTACACCAATGATAATCTATTTTCGAACCTCGCCCAACAGATAGTCCAAATTCTATATGCCTATCACCCAGTTGAGCTGATCCTCAAGTACAAATGTTCAAATATATAGGCGAACAAACGACTGCCCTAATTCTCACTATTCCAAAAGACTGGTAACTAGTAAGCATAATTTTAAAGCCGCTTAAAAACAGTAGGATGAATTTTTTTATTTTTTTTTATATTATTTTTGATACCTAGGTGGCCGCCTTATAGCGATTAATCTTGAGGCCTACAATCCAGCCCCTCTTCACGCAGACCAGGTAAATCACAAGTTGTGCCCCAAACTGGCCAGGGTTCAAGAGCCCTCCCAACTGAACTGTCAAAGTGCCGAGCGAATCAAACTCATGTATGCGTCTTGCCTTCTAAGAGAACTTCTGCCTTCCAGGAGAGAGCTTGCCTTCCAAGAGCCCCATAAATCGAACCCGTGACCTCTGAACTACCCGCCTTGAAGATTTCCGTCCTTTGCCAGTTAGGATAAATTTACTTGTACATAAGGGTGTTCATACACTCACGTAGATGTGAAGTCCACTTATGTACATAAAATTATGTACACCAAACACATTCCAAAAGTATAGCTATCATTAAAATTGTACAAGAAATAGAGACAAATAAGAATCTCAATCTCAAATGGACAATGGTGACAGAAGCCAATCCAACACAACATATAGAAAGACTAAAATAATAATAATAATAAATCAAACTACTAAAAGAATTCAAGGCAAGTATAACCCGCTATAATGCTTCAAGAGACTAGCATCTTCTGTTAAAAGAAATTTACCTGTGGAGCCCCAAAAAAATATTAAAAAATAAAAAACGCAATTCAGACTATTCGACGTCAAAGCTGGCGCTTTTGAAGATTGGGCAAAGGATAGACCCAAGAGGTCATAAGGAAAGGAACAAGCAGTTGAATAAATTTACAAGTAAATCATGAATATATTATCCGAAAGAACTAAATGGAAGGTAGCTGGCTATATTACAATCTCAAATGTATCACAGTCTTGCACTTTCATGTACAATGCAGTTAGTTCAAATATTGTTTCAACACAGAACTCAGGCTTTAACCTGCATCCCCCATCAAGATGCTCTGCATGAGCTTCAGCCAGCCTCGTTCTCAGCAAATCCAAATGAATCTACAATAACAGATAAAAATAAGATAAGCATAACATCTCAATTAGAATCAGCAGGAATAGTATTTCTGTCGTTTGTTATTATGTTATTCAATCAGTATGATCGTGGCAGATATGAAGATCTTAGGATTCAAATATGAAATTTAGCATAAAATTACTACACACCTAAAATCCTTCCTTCCCAGCAGATAAATATTTTAAATATATAATTCGAACTACATTGAAGCATGTCTGATTTTTTTACATATTTTAAATGTTGACACTCAATGGACACTTCCTAGACACCTTGGGCTCGTGCGCGGCATGCCATGTAGAACGTTTTGTACTATTCATAGACATTATAGTTCAGGGCATGAGGAACATATCCTTGATATATCACATACAATTGTTGATAGAAATTTATAGTTCAAACACGAGGAACGTGAGACATCGGGCTATTGGACAAAATGGAATAGAACAGGAAAGATGCTTGCCTCATGAGCGAACAAAATATTAAAAAAACAATTTTTTTCATAGATCACATGACGATTTACAGGCTGTTGGTCACTGCAGTAGAATTAAATCATGAGACATCAAATAAGAAATGTTCTTTTCATAGTAAGATCCTATTTGATTTTCTGATATCGAAGCTGGTAATCTTCCATTGGATAATAAATAATATAACTATGTGTACAGTCGCCTTGATAACCTGTGTGAAGACCAGGGGCGGACCCACATGGGGTCATGTGGGGTCAAATGACCCCACAGTTTTCTGGATTTTTTTTTTTTTTTTTTTTTTTTTTTTTTTTTTTTTTT